AGGAGCAAGACGAGAATCGGGGCAGAAGGAAGGAGAACGGCCCAGGCAATGGTCTCCTTCACCACAGCCCTGAAACAGCTCTCACCCACCTAAACCACTGAGCAAATAACCAGTTAAGAGGTACACAAACGGAAGTAGGAAACCAAAAGTCAAATTCAGCCTCTTCTTGATTTGAGTCTGAGTATTTTCTTGTAGAAAATAACCCAAATCTAAGAATAACATTTAGCAAAAGAGAGCCATTAAGTTGAGAAAGAACCCCTCTTTCCCTTACCTTTGTCACCAGATCTGGAGAACTCATTCCCACCTGGCTTCTTGATTGTGTCTGCTTATGCATATCCACTCATCCGCTGCCCTGTAGCAGATGCTGAAATGGGGCTCAGGTAGAGTGGCTACCAGACACGACACCAGGATTTCCCTTTCTTTGAGGAGCTTATGAGCAAGTTGAGAGCTGAGACTCACATACTTACAAAACCAGGCAATAATGGGAAAGCAGCACTTGGGCAAGAGAACCAGTGGACTTCTTATGTGAAGTTGCCCACATAAGATCTTCTGTGGCTGGGAAATCCTGAAGTGCCCAGCAATTCCATAAGCAGTTTGTCTCTCCAGTGAGTTTGTGAGCTTTCAGAAGGCAAAGCCAGGCCTTCTACACCTGTCTTTCATGAAACAGGTGCACAGTTGGTCTTATCTGACTGCTGTTTGGTTCTCTAGTGCTGCTCTAACAGAAATACCACAGGTGGGTGGCTTTGACAAACAGGGGTTTATTCTCTTATAGTTTAGGAGGCTAGAAGTCTGAGTTCAAAGTGCCAGCTCTAGGGGCTGAGTGAAGGCCCCTCAACCTTGGGCTTCAGCTCTGCCTCTTGCTCCTGGCCCACTGAAGCTGGAGGCTTCTCCTAACTCAGACCGCTGCTGGCTGCTGAGGCTGACAAATCCAGAGTCCACAAGTAAAATGGCACAGTCCCAAGATTATCAAGCGACACGGCAGACCACTTACTCAAATCCATTAACAGTCCCAAGAATGGCAGACAACATAGCAGGCCATTGAGATGAAGACTCAGCCAAATGCAGGATCCAGATGTCCCCCAAAGCTTGATACCTTCCTCAAAAGCAGACCACATGCCTAAGGCAGCTACTCAGCTGCTCACAGTAGATTCCACCATGGAGTTAATTACCAATCTCATCATAGAGAATCACTACATCCAGCTGCCCAGCCACTCAAAACCAGGCCCAGCCAAGTTGACACACAACTACCACCATTGCCAACCATGTCCCAGGCACTGTGGATGCTGGGAGCATCGAGTAATTACAGAGTGCCCAATGACTGACGAATAAGGAGTGGTCTACATAGCGTTCATTAGCTCCTCAGGCAATGAAACCTTGCCTCTGTTGTATCCCACAGCCATGCAGCACCTGGAGAGTGCCTGGCACATAGTAGGTGCTCACTAACTTCTTCATGCACAGACAGTGAACTAATGACTCAGAATTTGTTTTGTCCAGGAGGTAAGTCTTGAGTGACATTTTGGAGAAAGTGATAGTGAAAATTTGTGGGGCAAAAGATACTTTAGGTAAAGAAACACTCTCAAGTTCAAGATTTATTCAAAGATTTACTGCGTGCCTATTATGTGTCAGGTTCTAAATTTGATTCTGGGACTATAAAGATAATTAAGACACTCCTTGCCTATAAGGGGCTCAGAGTCAAAAGAACGGACATGATACCCAAGAATATTAAAAAGGAAGTGTCTGTGTTATGATAGAAGATTGAGCCAGGTGTGCAGGAACATGGAGCAGAGTTAGAAGAAATGAAAAACAATTGTTCTTGCCCCTTCCTCCATTAATTCTCCAAGACAGGCTCTCCAGGCGGGATCTTCCGGTTTGAAAGCCAGTGCTTCAAAGGCCTTGCTTTCAATGCAGTTTAGCCTCTCTGCTCTCAGTCTTCCCGCTGTTTTGGAAGCTGGGCAGCAAAGCCGCTTCCGTTCTTGCTGCCATGACTGGATAACCAAGGAGCTGATGTTGGAACTGAGTCTTGGGGACTTCACCAGATGCACAAGGGTCGGTGGGAAGGAGAAGGCGTTCCATTCAGAGGGAAATGCACTCAAAGGCTCAGAGACAGAGACACGACATGGGGAAGGTCAAGGAGTTGAGTGTCACTGAGGCCAGGCCGGAAGTGAGCTTGGGGGCTCAGCAGGATCCAGGACATGTTTGTGCGCCACTCTGGAGAGGCGTGGAAAGGTTTCTCCGCTAGCCTAGGAGGTGTATGCTTTTGGAAGCTAAGTCGGACGATCACGTGAAGGGGGCCTGGAAGAGGGAGAAACCGGAGGCAGAGAGACCAGCTGGGAGGCTGGGTAGCTGGGCCCACGTGGGGAACTCTGGAGATGAGAAGGATGGACTTGGGTGTGTGCAGGGTGAGGTACAGGCTGAAGGAAGGCACTGAACATTCATCTCTGCAAGTGCCGCGTAGGAAACTGGCCTCTTGCTTCAGAGGCTCCCGGTTAGAGTGTCGTCTCCAGAGAACACAGGACCCCACTGGACTCACCTGGCCCCGCCTGCTCTCTCTTGAGTCTGACGGGACACAGGGCGAACTAAATGGACCTCTCCCTCCCTCCCTCCCTCCCTCTCTCTCTCTCTCTCTCTTTCTCTCTCTCACTCATGCAGAGTGCAGAATTATTCAAGGCCTACTCCCCCAAGGCCCATGTCCTTCCTTAACGTCCTCCTAGCCATGGGTCTTGTCTCTACCATGCTCCCACCCCCCACCCCCACCGAAAAGCACCTGGACCATGAGTTCTTCTCCCTGCCTGTCCATGGCAAGGGCCCTGGACCCCTAGGTGCCTAATTAGCAAAACCAGATAAAGCAGTAGAAAGAATTCCCATCACGTAAAAGGCAAAGGGCAGAAGGGACCCAGGTCTTCCTGGCATGGTCTCCTGGAGTCTGTTCCCTCTGTCTTCCGCTCCAGGTGTGCTGTGGATGGTGGAAACTTCAGGCGGGAGGCGAGGGGAGACACGGGGAGTGGCTGGCAGGGGAAGGCAAGGAGGGTGTTGAAGTAGCTCTCAGAGCCCTCAGGTCTACTTCCATGTGAGGGTGGATAGACCTTTTCTGGGCCCCCTCTCCATTGACCTCATTTCTACAAAACCAGAAACTCTTCGTGTGAAGACACCCATCTACCCAAACTAGAGTTTCCGGGAGGAGTGGGAGAGTGGGTTAGATCCGCGGCCCACGGGCACAGACTGGGCCCCTGTGGTTCTAGAGGGGGGATGAGGTCGTCTCAGCAGCCCAGAGAAAACGGAGGGGTGGTTAGCAGCAGTCCTGAGGTCTAATGACAAGGCAACGGACCTGCGACTCTGGAGGAGCTCCACCCTCCTCGGCCCTCCCCCAGTCTGCGGGTGAGAGGCGCCCCCCCTCCTCTGCACCGAAAAAGAATCGGAAACCAAACCTGCCTCCGCACTGGCCGGGCAGTTGCCCAGTAACCGTGTCCGGCACCCCTTGTTTGCCCCCCCCCCGCGTGTCACAAAGCCCCTCTTCTCCCGGGGGGAAGAGCGCCATCCCTTCTGCCCTGGAGCCCACATCCTTGCAGCCTGGCACAATGGGCTCCCACGGAGTACACAGTATTTCTTATTGTGGCATAAAATGCCATAAAGTCAGAACAAAGAGGGAGCCCAGAGCCTTGATGGGCCTGCTGCTTCCTGCCGGGCGGAGAATACAACCGATTGTTTAAAAGCCAGAGTGAGGCAAGTGGCCAATTAACACGGCCTTCACCCCCACGGCCTATGCATGTGATGGGACCGTCAGACTGGGATGCAGCCACTCCGATCAATTGCTGAAAGGAAGCTGGTCTGCTCCCACTGCCAAATTTAGAAGGCCTGAAACAGCAAAGGTGACCCGGGTTATCTCTGCGGCTGCGTCTAGGACTAAGCAAAGCCCTGTGGCTGCCGGGTATCAACCCGGCTCTCGGCACTCCGCCCACTTCCCTGCCCCTCTAAGGTGATGTAAGGGATTCCTAGAACATTCCTGAGAGTAGAGATTTATACATCTGTTCACAACTGCAATGGGGAG